CCTCTCTCACTTTATACAAAAACGCAAATGTATAAAATGCGTGAAAATTGTATATATACATATATTTTTGTTTCCCTCTCTCCCCTCTCCCAGATCTCACTCGCCACTCTCCTAGATCTCGCTCGCTCACTCGCCTCTCTCACTTTATACAATTGATCTTTTTGTATATGTATACCAAAGCAGATTATACAACTGTTTTTTTTGTATATGTATAGCGAATTATACATATATATGTTTGCTATGGAGCGTAATTATGCAAACTTTGCTATAACATACAACTATGAATTTTGTATTTGCTATATGTGAAAGTTGCTCTAAATAAAAGTCTTATTAGGATTAGCTCACTTTAGCCCATAAGCCCAATATTATGTGGCATATATAACGGTTATTTAGGTCTTATTTTCAGAAACACTAGAGAGAAAAATCAAGAGAGATCGGTTTTAGAGATTGAGAGCAGGAAATTTTCTGCTCAGGCAATCTGCTTCAAACAGAGTTTGCCGCTTCGTTAACCGTTGGATCGTGCTCAAATTTGAACTGGAAGTTCTCAGAATCTGGTTCTTGCATTTCAACAGTGGAGATCGGATGTAAGGTCTGTAGCTTCTGATTTTTGGGTGTGAACAGTAGCTCTTTTTTGGGTGAAATGTCTCATTTAATATTCTAGTTTTGGGGCAATCTATTTTTGTTGTTTCTCGTTGTTTGACACTTGTTTTTTGGCCAATTTTGGAGAACTATTTTGTAACTCTTGGTGTTTATAGTGGAGTTTTTGGTCCTGTGAATTTTTACTCTTCACATCGAAGGATTTTCCATGTAAATCTCTGTGTATTGTGTGATTGGTTTATTTTTGTCTTATTGTTTTAGTTTGGTTGATATACTTGTTGTCCATTCTTATTGCTTGATTTAGTTTGTATTCTCTTGGTTCAAATTGAAAGGGAAAGTTTAGATTTAAATATTATTTTGTGTTATCCTGTCAGGCATTCTTGTTAGTGTCTTGTCTTTCTCAACAAAGACCATGTAATTTTTTAGTTGTTTGTTTATATTATTTGTATCAATGATATGCTATATAGTACAAGTTTTTAATACCTATATTTTCTTGCAGCATAGTTCGCAATATAATTCATTGTAGAAGGTATGAATTTTGCTAGAAATCATTATTCATAATTATTAGACTTTTCAGTATTGCTTTTTCTTTATTATTTTGTAATAGGGTAAAAACTTCTCGTAAAGGGAATAATTCACTTTTGTATATGGTATTTGATTTTACGGATATTTTATACTTATCCAAAGAATTATAGATTATTGTCTTGCATCTTATTTCTATACTTGATATGATGTTTGGGTTACTCCTTATCGGTACGAATATCGTAAATTTTTATTTTTTAATTATTATCCTCATCTTTATAAGTTTAAGAATGTTATTATGTTGTTATTAGAGGATGTAGAGCTTGCTTTACATGCTACACTTATTGTCAAAAAGCACATGAATAACTATAGATAATAAGTATCCATTTTATTTTGAATGAGTCCATGATAATTTACTATCATGATACGTATATATTTATCCAAATGCTATGTTAAATAACTTTATTCACGCTAAATAAATAACATTAAAAACCCATATTATGTTACTATACCTTAGTTGAGACATTTATTTGTTCGTATACTGAACAGACTATATAGAAAGAGACACAACAAAATTGTAACTTCAAAAATTAATTTAACATACAATAATTGTCCTACCCATTCATTTCAAGTTCAACTACGCTATTGCTTTGACATATATGAACACTATTATCATTTGAGTTATGTTCTAATGTTTTACACCTGCAACACACACAAATACATACATACATATATATATATATATATATATATACTAGTTTTGAAAACGTGCACGTTTTTCCCTTATTACTGTATAAAATTTGTACAAGTCTAATCTTATGTCTTTTATAAATACGATGTACCTTGTATGGATTAGTGTATTTGTACATGGAGCTTACTTTTGTATCCAAAAAGAAAAGATGGATTTCAAATATAATCTTCTAGACTAAAATATCTAATTTTAATAGATATTTTTCTATACAAATATAGGTGTCAACTAATTCTTTTCATTTAACTTATTGTTGTTAGTGTGTATTTCAGTTCAATTTAGTCATGTGCGACTTTATTGAAAATTTGTTAACTACTAACCAAAAATTAAAATTTATAATTGATTGCTTAAAAGAAAATTAATTTAAAACATAAAATACACTCCTTATATAATGTTTCCTATCACACTTTTACAAATTTATTTGAATATTGCATTTTAGTACTCACATGTGAAGCACATATTGTTTCTCAATTAGAAAAGAAATGTCACGCCCCGAGCCTACACCTTGAGCGGGACTGACACTCGAGAACCATTGTTGACCCCAAGTGAACCCTTGGTCTGACTTACTACTCAGCGGAAGACTTTACTCAACATTTTAAGACAACTCAGGAGATAAATTCA